TGCAATGGGGACCGAAATAAAGATAATGAACCGGTACACTTCTCGCGTCACCGCTGCTACCTAGCACGCTACATAGTTTTGGAAAGGGCATGGTACAGCCTACATATTGGCAAAAACTGTGTGTTTGATTTTGCCAATTTCGGCTGCCACGACCGAGCCGCGCGGCCCGCGACGTTTGGGCCCCTGGGGACGCTTGGTCAGTCGCGAGCTCGGATTCACCATGTCGGATGTGAAGTGGGACCCATATGGTCACAATTTAAACCCGAGGCGTCTCCTTAAGCCCTACTGTGTCTGCACGGCAGAGCCATTAAGATGGCGAGCCGCTGCGCACCAATTTCGAGCCCGCTGTGAAAATCGTGATGCGCGTCGGGTAAACGTTATAGCACAGAGCCTAAACTTTGCACAGGGTCTCTACTAGGTCCAATCTTTCATTTGAGGTGCCGAAGTCGAAACTTTTTTTTTGGTGGAATGGCCTAACCTGGGCCACCTGCTGTGGTGCTGGAGCGGGGGCCAGCACAGCCCTGATGAATCGTACCTACCTCAAGGTCAGCTGTGATCGTGGTGGCTGTTGGAGCGCCATGGTCTGGACCGGCGGCGGCGGCGGTAGCGGGGGAGCGGCGGCAGAGAATGGCATCTGCTGCTGCGGCGGTGGTAGCAAGGGCTGCTGCTGATAGTGCCCCTGCAGCATGGGTAGGCCCACCAGTCGATGCTGCTCTCGCTGCTCGTTTTGTTGATTTTGGTGCTCCTCTCAGGAGATTTGGGGAGCTGCTGGGCCGCTGGGCCGGGAGGGATGAAGGTTGCCATGCGAGCTGTATCGGTGAGGCGTGGCGCCAACACGCCAACTCTTTGAAGCATGTAATTAGGTACCATTGCAAGCGATACGTCAGGGCTTTCCCTGCAACCACAATATGGCGTCAGGGCGAAGAGCGGCCCCAAACAATAGTCGCAGTACTGCAATATCCCCGAGGCGTGCCCCGTCCCGTCATGTGTCCTCGCAGCATCTCGTGGCCCCGGAAGAGAGGCAACAGGTTCGCTGCTGGGCTGCATGTCAGGTGTGTTTTGACGGAAATCACACCCAGTAATGTAGTGTGCGTAGTTGAAGCCGACAGAAACGTTATCCATGTTGTTGAGAAATATGTCCAAATTGTAAAGTACAGCACCGATCACACAATCACAATAACACAAAAGGAAGAAGGGTGCCAATTGGTTATGCGCGGAGACATCAAGCGCCTCGCGAAAAGACATGACATCTTCTTTAAGTGCAC